TTGGAGACCAGATGGAATGAGTTCCCAGGCTGCTGCTGACCAGCAGGTCCCAGTGGGAGCCATAAGGCAAGCCCTCATCACTGGGTTGGCCAGAGTGACCTCTTCCCAGCTTCTGAATTCCAAATTGTATTCCCACTCTGAGGCCTGAAAGGGTGACCCACTGTCCCAGTTTGCCAGGGACCGAGAATTTTCCCAGGACATGAGGCTTTTAGTGCCAAATCAGGGAGGGTTAGTCACCTGGACATAGTAGTAAGAGAGCGTTTAACACCCCCCAGGTGATCTAGTTGGAATCTAAAACAGAACTGCCTGGAAGCTGGGCTCCCATTTTTCTGTCAGGCCTAAGACTGATGATGCCTTCACAGCTCTGTGCCTAATTTTGCTTTTAATTTCTACTGCTAATCCAATAGGATGGAGCTTTATTTCCAACAGTGAATCAATGGAAGTCTGCTGGCATGTTCTAAGATGAGGTGGCTCCAAGGGAGGAATGACTGGTGTGTTACCCCTTCGAATGGAGGCACATCATTCCCAAAGTACTCTTCCTAATTCAAAACACATTAAACATTTAGAATATACTTGGCAACTTGGGCATGCAAGCCTATATCCTGTAAACTCCCAGCCCTCAAAGAGCTGACCTTCCCATGAGAGACACCAATACGAATACAATAAACTCTGTTACAAGGCTACCTAGGGGGTCACTAAGATGGCAAGAGGTCACGGGAGCTGGGAAGGGCGAATTGGGGTACCTCTGCTTCCTATATGCCAGCTACTTAATATTCATTATCTCATTTAACAGCCACATTTCTTAAGCACTTACCATGTGACTAATCCATTTAATTTTTATAACAATTCAAGTATTATACCCATTCTATGAATGAGGAAAATGAGGTTTGGAAAAACCAACCATCTTGCTCAAGATTGCAAGTTAGTAAATGAAGAGTTTGAACCCAGAGAGCCTGAGTCTTCTTTTGAAGCATGGAGACTGAATCTCCTACCCTGGTGGTGTGCTGGATTCTCCATACCAACAGGGTGCTAGACACTCAGTCGACATCAGACAAAAACTACAGGGTAGGCGCTGGGAACCGAGGCGGGCGGCTGTGCGTGGAGGAAGCATGGCAGAGAGAAACAGAAGGTGGCGTGTCTGCGTTCTAAACTCCAAGGCATGATAGCAGGAATGTCCCACTGGAGGTGTGGGAACTTGGGGAATGCTGACATTCTAAAGGAAACTGGCAGGTCACATGCTGCCCTTCTGGCCCTTTGCTGCCTCCAATTCTAAAGAATGAATGCTACAATGTGAAGCCAAATGCCTGACTTCTTTATCATCCTTCCAGGGCAGAAGATGAGTGTGTCATGATTTTACATTTTTTAGACTGCATGTAAATTCTTTTTTTTCTTTATTTGAGAGAGAGACAGAGACAGAGGTACAGAGAGAGAGAGCAAGAACGGGGAGGAGAAGGAGAAGCAGACTTCCTGCTAAGCAGGGAGCCTGACGTGGGGCTCGATCCCAAGACCCTGACACCATGACCTGGGCCGAAGGCAGACACTTAACTGACTGAGCCACGCAGGCGCCCCTGCATCTGTAAATTCTTGAAAGCATCTTTCTTATGCCTTGGAACATCTGAATAACTCATGTTGCATATATACAGAATTTGATATATGCAAATCAAAGAAAAATGTGTTGATTTGACATACTATGGCTGGTTTTAATATGTTCATTGCTACAGTCAACTTAGAAGTTAGGTATTCTGGGGTGCCTGGGTGGTTCAGGCGGTTAAGTGTCTTGACTCTTGGTTTCAGCTCAGGTCATGATCTCAGGGTCCTGAGATGGAGCCCCACGTCGGAATCTGTGCTCAGCATGGAGTCTCCCTCTGCTCCTCCCCCCTACACTTGCTCTCTCTCTCTCTAAAATAAATAAATCTTAGGGCGCCTGGGTGGCTCAGTTGGTTAAGCGACTGCCTTCGGCTCAGGTCATGATCCCGGGGTCCTGGGATTGAGCCCCGCATCGGGCTCCCTGCTCGGCTGGAAGCCTGCTTCTCCCTCTCCCACTCCCCCTGCTTGTGTTCCCTCTCACGCTTTCTCTCTCTCTCTCTCTCTCTGTCAATTAAATAAATAAATAAAATCTTTAAAATAAAATAAAATAAAATAAATCTTAAATAAAAGAAGTTAGGTATAGTAGCACTATCAACTACTGAAAGTGCTCATTTCAATAATAACAATCCACAAATCCAGTATTTTTAATGGACACTGGACTATGCTAAGTATCTAGAGCCTGATATTATATAATTATTGTCCTCAGAAACATCCTCAATCTCTTTGTTACTTCATAGGTTTTGGTTTGTGTAAAATGAACACATAATTTCAGACAATTCAGCATGGAAAACATGTGTTAATATGTAAAAGCATTAAAATTAATCACCCTGCAATTACAATTAAGAAAACAGAAAGGTAGGAAGGATACTGTTTCAAGCCAGACTTAAATAAAAGGTTCTAGGGGAAAAACTGATACCCTTCTTGCTCACTTCCACTGTTAGTGATTCTTGATTAATCCAGTCAGTTTCTCCCCATGCCTCCAAAGAGGCTTTCATCTGGAGTCCTGGGCTGTTCAGGGCCTTTCTGTGACTCTAGTCTTCCAGACAGCTCCTGGCACTGCTAGGCGTTAGAATCCATGGGGCTCTTCTTCAGTGACAGAAAATAACTGGGAGTGTTTTGATGGCAAAGAAAGGCCTTCTCTACTGGCTTATGCTCAGCTTTGTCTTACAATGGCCTTTATTAAAGCTTCTGGATATAAAGAAGAAACTGACTGTCGGCTCTATCCATCCGATGTTTCTGCTCCTTTAGCTCGGTGAAACCAAAACAGCGCTTAGGAGAGCCTCTTCCTTCGGGTGGACCCTTGGGGAAGGTAATTCCCCTCATGGTTTCTCCACCCTCTTCATTTCCATGGCCCCTAGTCAACTCTTTCCTTTGTCCTTGACATTTTCTAAAATTAGCTTTATCAACTCTTTCCAGTCTTTGAACTCCCTTGAGCTGTTTGCACAACCTTTTCTTCTTGTAGTGACTGTTAACCCACACCTGCCTTTAAACAGGACAGAGTAGGAGAAATCAAAGTATTTCAGCTTCTATCCACACTGTTTGTCCAACTGAATTCAGAGACAACTTGGTTCCTGCCCCCCAATAACTTTCTAGAAAGCTGTTGTGAAAGAAAATGAAGAAAACAAGCACTTCTTAACCAGTGAGATAACTTATTTGCGCCCAGAAAGTCTTGCTTTGTTCCAGAACGCTTAGTGATGCAAACAAAAATTTTTTTGCCATGTACTCTCATAGCACAATAACAGATTTCAAGTTGAGAAACTCTAATGGTGATATATAAATTTCTTTGCCAAGTACAGGTACTGTACCATATTAAACATGTCTTTTTCCTTTTTTTGTATTTTGATTTTTTTTTTAAGCATTTGGAGTCAAGCACTTAGATCTTTTAACCGAATTTCCAATCTTTTTTTTAAAGATATTATTTATTTGTCAGAGAGAGAGAGAGAAGCAGGCTTCCCACTGAGCAAGGAGGCAGATATGGGGCTCGATCCTGGGACCCTGAGATCATGACCGGAGCCAAAGGCAGACGCTTAACTGACTGAGCCACCCAGGTGTCCCTGTATTTTGATTCTTTAACATCATGACCTTGCTGACCCTGAAGGGACTGCCCCTCCCAGGGCTAGCCAATTCCTAGATGTAGTAAACAACTCACCCTCCAACTGTTAACTCCCCAGTTAATACAAACCAATCCAGAGCTCACAACTCCAACCACCTCCCCTATGCCTCTCACCCCTAGGGCTACTATTGCCCCTGCCATCACCCTAGGTCCAGGTACCACACAATTAAGACAGGCCCTAATCCCCAGAGCCTCTTGAAATGATTCAAATTAGTCAATTCAATTCTAATCCTGCTTAGTTTGACTCACCTATTCCTTCCCAGAGAAACCACAATAAAGGCTCTTGCCCACATTTTCCCTTCTCCCTCTGCCTCTGACCAGCATGGCTCCCCGCGTGCCCCCTCTCCCTCCCCATGACATGGTGTGCCCCCTTCTCTTTGGATCTATGAGTATAATAATCATCTTTTCAATGGCAATTGTTTTCCTGATCTGTTGGCCTCACCATACATAAATAACAATAAAACCTAGATTTAAAAAAAACACATACAAAAAGAGAAAGGAAGACGGGCTAGCAAAAGACCACAGCCTGGCCTCTGCTTTGCTCATTATTCAAATGGATGTGGATGAAAGTTAGTTGCCCCGTCAGTTATATTTAGCAAAACTGCCACTTTTAGTGTTCCAAGAAAAAAAGCATGATTTTAGTATAAAGTACTGTATTATACTGGTTAAGAAAGTACTCAGTAGAGCCGACTAGAAACAGCTGTGATAAGGACATCCACATTAAGCCACTACATGTTACAAAAGATGCTGGGAGTTTTAAGGTTCCTTGGCTTCTAGAGCACAGATTGAGTCCAACTGTAAAAAGATCTTATGAAGCAAATACAAGGAGCCCCCATTCGCCTAAACAATCATGGTAAAGTTTTTTTTAAATCAAATGTTCTGGATTTTAATATATCCCATTAAAATTGCATCACGGCAGATTTAGTATGAAAAGCAAAGTCCCTGAGATACTGTACTCTTATCTGGGGCTTACTTCTGTCTCTAGCTCTGGAGTCAAAGCTACTCCAAGGCAGTTTTGCTTGACTTTGCATGCCCAGCAGCGGACACACAGTGGGTGCTAAATATATGTTTCCCGAGTGAAAGAATGTTTCTCATTATCTTTAAACAGATGATGTAAGAGATCAAAGATGCTCATTTAAGGGATTATGTAAATCAGTGGCTGGTTTTGGAGCTGAGAATGAAAGCTAATCCCTCTGGCCTAAACCATTAAGATCCCACTACATTCTGCCACCGCTCAGAGAGAAATGTAAGACCCTATCTGGTGATGGCAGTGGACATCCTGGCGTCTTCTGACCCTTACGCCCACCTCTACCTCCTGGCTAATGGCCCCGCACGAGTGAGCCCTTTGCGTGGGCCTGACAGTGTGCTGTGACCAATGGCTGAGCTCCTGGGGGCCGCTTGGGTGGCAGCCCTGTTCGGCGACACTCACCAAAGGCTCTAGCTCCTTGCGGTCGATGAGGTTCATCTCTGTGACGAAGTAATAGAAGTGCTTGTAGCAGGTGTTGACGTGGGCCTCCGCACCCATCACAATGACCCGGTCAAAGTGGTGGATGTAGACGTGGACGAAGACGCGGAAAAGGCGGCACAGGATCTTCTTGCAGATCTGAAGGAAGTTCTTTGGGAAGGGAACACCTAAAGACGTCAAAAAAAGAAGACAGAGAACAAAGCCATGATGGGAAAGCTCCGGAAGCCCGAGAACGCATGTGCGAGGGTGGAGAACCATCCTGCACGCGAGCCTCCAGGCCAGCCTGCAGATGCCTGGCTCTGCATGGGCAGCTGCATCAGACACGCCTAAAAAAAGTGGCTAATGATGCTGTTACGTTTAAATACCAACAATGACCAGGAAGAGACCAAAAAAATTAATGAAGAGGGCCAGGTTTGTTTCTTTGGTTATATATATATATATTCATATGTATTTGGTTTTATTTACATATAAATATTTGCTTTTATTTATATATAAATGTTAAATATTGATTTTTACATAGAAATGTGTGTTCTCCCTTCTTGCTCCCCACCGCCCCCTTTATAGAGCACAAGTAGTTTCATTTTCCTCTTACATCTAATCTAAGAGAACTAGAGGGAGACGGGTGCTCCCTGACAGAGTAACAGGGGGCTGCGGGCACTGTAGCAAATCGGAAAGCACCTTCTTCTCAAAGGGAGTAGTGGTGGCAAAACTCCAGCCAACGGTGGCCAGACGGGGACAGAGGCCCAGGGCTCTTAGAACTTCTGATTTTTCAAGATAATTCAGGAATCTGGAGTTCTATGTGAGCTTGCTACATTTTTTTAAACATGAGCAATGAATCTAAAGTTTTACAAAATACCAGTGGTCAAAACAAGACATCTTTCTAGCTTAATGTGGCCTGCAGGCTGCCCGTGTGCAAATTCTGATCCAAATTCCTCCAGAGATTCACTGTTTCTGGGGTGGGCAAATGCAACAACCTCCACAGACAGTGGACATTACACTTATCCCCACTTCATCTCCTCGAGGAAGGTTAAGAGTGAGTTATGGGGCCAAAGGAGGCACCTTAAGTGATAACATGTTGTAAGTTAAACAGACTTTGAATTCCTGCTCTGCAGCTCTTCCAGCTGTATGACCATGGCCGAGAGATTTAACCTCTGGGAGCTTCAGTTCTTCCATATGTAAATAAAAATTCAAACAGTTGGGAGGATTAGACACAGATAAAAATTCCAGTGGTTGTGAGGATTAGAAGTGGTGCCCAGGCAACTCTGGTTTCTCATCTATAAAAGAAGGGTCATAATAAGGCCATCCTTGCATGAGTAGGAGGGTGTTAACATGAATAAAATCCCTCGACAGTGCCTCAAACAGAGGAAGAGCTCACCAAATGAGAAGGACCCTCCTCTCTGCACTGTAAGGTCTACAGCATTTAGCTGTTGTTATAAGGAATATATTACCTTTATCAAGAAAAGGTAGACATGGCTACCAGCCTTTCAACAGAATTGCAGAGTGTGCCTAGGGTGCGCTCCTGGTCCCTGTCCATCCCTCCACAGGGTCCCAGTGGCAGCTGTCTGGTGAGATACTCTGTAATGGGATCACCTGGGACCCCCAGGGCACAATGAGAGAGACAGAACATGACGGGCAACTGGCAGGCGCAAGATCTGCCTCCCTGGGGCCCGGCACCGATACCAGCTTTTCTTTGAACACAAAGTGGGACCTATCAAATGAACCCAGGGAGAGACTCGGGCACAGCGTGGCAGCTGTCTGGGCAACAGATGCTGGGATTTGGGGATGGAGGTGAGGTAAAGCTGGGGAGTGGGCAGCCCCTTGCAGAGATTATGGGTGGTTTTCTATGCTGAGGAGGGGCCAGCAAAAAGCTGCCAGGCTGGGGAAGGGTCTGGAGTCTTCAGAGAAGCCCAAGTACCAGAGGTGATGGAATCCCCTCTAAGTGTGTTCCCATCAGAAGGGGAGCCCCGTAACCCACACAGTGACAACACCAAGGGTTGACGTTTCCTTTACAACCTATCTGCAAAGTGGGCTTTACTACTCATATGTCACAGATGACTAACACTGAAACTCTGAAGCGCAGATTAACTTGCCCCAGGCTATTTAGCCAAAAAGGGGCAGGGCTGGGAAGTGGACCAAGTCAGCCTGGTTCTCAACACCAAAAGATCTGGTTATATTTGGAGTATAACACTCTTACTCTGCCAAAGATAGAGGCACAGCTCGATGGCTTAAGTGTAACGAGGCATCCAAAGGTTACTCTTGGTGGTACAGAAATAGAATTTAAAAAAGAAAAGAAAAGTGGTGGGAAGTGAGAGAAGTCTGAAAAAAGTCTACGTCCTTGGCAGTCAAAGATTCAAGGTGATAAGAGGTCAGCTACTACACTCCGCTGCCTTCAAGGAGATATGTGTTTCATGCCTTAGGAAACTGGGACTAATAGAAAAAGCCAACATTTACTGAGGACTTACTATGTTCCAGGGACTAAGCCAAGAGCTTTACGTGGATTAGCTGACTGAATTCTGACAAGGCTTGAAGGCAGGTACTATTATTGTTTCCACTGCAAAGATGGGAAAACAGACTTGGGAAAATTAAGTAGCTGCCCAAGGTCATCCAGCTGGCAAATAGTAGGGGAGGGGCCTGGAGGCAGGTCTGTCCAACTCCAAAGCCCAGGACCACCTTGAAAACCTGAAAGCCCAGGACCACCTTGAAAACCTGAGATGCTGCTCTGGGGCTCTGCACACACCCCCAGCTCTTGTGGCCCTTCCTTTATGTGTGGTCTGAGCCCCCGTGGTGGGTTTACCTTTCACTCCCCCTGCCTCCAACTCACCAGCTGCCAGGGAACATGGGGAGTCTCAGCTGTACCACTTCACCTGCTTATCAGCCCCACACCCCACACGCTGACTGCAGGTAAGGCAGTCTCGGGCACATTGAGGATGCTCAGGCAATTGCTAGGTCCCTCTAGATGGTCCCCCATTTGCATCTTTCCCCCATCCCTGTTCTGCTCAGCTCTGAACTCTTGGCTCTCCCTTCCATCCCGTACCTGGTCTCTGGCCGTGCCTTTGTCCTAGAACTTGGCTTGCCTCTTGTCTCTCCCTTTTGGGCCATGGCTAGAAATGATCATTAGAGTAGTGGAGAGGAGTGGCTTTGAGATTCTGGAAGACCTAGTTTTAAAGTCCTAGTCCTACAATTTATTTGCTGTACAGGCAGATTACTTCATCACTCTTCTGCATTGTAAAATAGATAAAAACACTGGCTTTGTAGTGTCCTTATATGAGTATCTGTACTGTAACAGGTCCTTAGTGGGAACTGTCAGACTAAATTCTACTTTTGTTATTTCTCACCTGAACTACTCCGGTAGATAAAATCCAGGCTCGGCATCTCTTGACTCTAGTTGCAAAGTTGGATCAGACTCTTCCATCATTCCCTCTCTTACATGTAATTCATTCTTCAAAAGTGAACATTGCAAACGGTTCGAGTTAGGATGTGCTCAGCATGCACCAGTCACCTCAGGCCAACTCTGGAAGCTGAGAAGTCCTGGGCTGGGAGTTCTAGGGAGCCCAGGAACCCCAGCGGGCTCTCGGCTGAACCAGAGAGAAAATCCCAGCTCACAGAGCATGGGGTTGAGAATAAGAAAGCTTGGGGTGCCTGGGTGGCTCTGCCGGTTGAGTGTCTGCCTTCGGCTTAGGTCATGATCTCAGGGTCCTGGGATCGAGCCCCATGTCCAGCTTCCTGCTCAGAGGGGAGTCTGCTTCTCCCTCTCCCTCTGCCTGCAGCTCCCCCTGCTTGTGCTCTCTCTCAAATAAATAAATAAAATCTTAAAAAAAAAAAAAAGAATAAGAAAGCTACATAGCAGTTGGGAAATTCATTCAATATCATCTATGGGTTCAGGGGCCATTTCTACGTATTTTAGCTCTTTTCTCCCCTTCTCTTCTGCCTTCCAGGTGTTCAGATTTGTGTGTGTGTCCATGTGTATATATCTGTGCATGTGTATGTATATGTATCTGCATATATGTGTGCATGTGTGTTTGTGTGTATATGTGTGTATGTATATGTGCACGTGCGCACATGTATGTGTGTATATGTATGTGTATACATGTGTTTGTATGTATGTGTGTGTTGTGTGTATATGTGTATGTATATTATGTGTATATATGTGTGTGTATGTATATGCATGTATATGTGTGTGTTGTGTGTATATGTATGTGTATATGTGTGTGTTTGTGTGTACGTATATGTATATATGTGTGTTGTGTGTATGTATATTATGTGTATATGTGTGTATGTATATGTATGTGTATATGTGTGTTGTGTGTATATGTATGTGTATATGTGTATGTACATGTATGTGTATATGTGTTTGTGTGTGTGTATATGTATGTGTATATATGTGTGTATATGTATGTGTACATGTGTGTATATGTATGTGTATATGTGTGTTTGTGTGTGTGTATATGTATGTGTACATATGTGTGTATGTATATGTATGTGTATATGTGTGTTTGTGTGTATGTATGTGTGTGTATATGTGTGCATGTGTTTGTGTATGTATGTGTGTACGTGTGTGTATATCTGTATGCATGTTGTGTATGTATATGTATGTGTATATGTGTGTGTTGTATGAATGTGTGTACATGTATGCATATGTCTATGTGGCATGCGTGTCTGTGTATGTGTTTTAAATAAACCTTCAGAAGGTGGGAAGTAGAAGAAATCACTCCTTTGAAGGTAGAGAACTGGATGTCCACCCCTTTGGTGGACTCTGTAATTATCTCGCCCTGTGTAAGTGGCTTCATGGCAGCAAGATAAGGCAAGACTCGGCCCTGCTGATCCACTCCTTTCCTTGACAGTTCTCAGAGGGACCAGCTCATGAAATTGGATTAGTCTGAGGGTTTTTGTCTCCGTGGTGCTGCTAAGAAGTATCCAATATTCATTAAATAGCCAAAGGAAAGGGAGCCCTGAGTGATGCATGATTTGCAGTGTGTCCCAGAACACTCTGAGCAGTGGTATTATAGTCACAGTTTTATTTTTTTGTTTTAAGATTTATTTATTTAGAGAGGGAGCATGCGTGAGCAAGTGGGGGGAGGGGCAGAGAGAGAAATCCTCCAGTAGACTCCCTGCTGGGCATGGAGCCCAATGCAGGGCTCCATCTCAGGACCCTGAGATCCTCACCTGA